GACTGACCCGACGAAAAAGGGGCGAAGGTCTTAGGGATGCAGGTATTGGGTCAAGGTAAGGATGTAGCCAGATTCAAAAGTTCTTTGCCAAAAGCCTACTATTCTTGATTCTATTTTCAAGTTTTACCCCTAGATCTTCTTAGTTCATTATCTCAAACTAAGTGTTCATATCCCATATTCCAATCCTTCTTATTCCATTCATTTTTCTCATGTTTTAGTAATTCACCAGTCCTGCATTGTTTCTGTAATGAATCGAGTCTCCATATCCGCGGAGCACCGGTAATTTGAATTGATTCAAGTCCCAGCTGGGGATTCCTTATCACACGACAATGTAGAACTTAATCTTGCATATATCAACCTCACTACCGGATCCTCCTATACTAAGCCATCTCCACGCCACCCGAGAGCACAGCACACCTCAAATCCGGCCACATTCTAGCCACGAGGGTACACGCTACTCCCGCCATCTCTCCGCTCCCAGTGCGTGGGCATTCGTCTTAGTATCGGATTAGCCGAAGTAGGCTTACCGGAGTATGTGACCAGTACTACAAAGTGTCTCGTTCAGAAAATCCACAATGAGTGGCCTTTAAGCGACATAGTCGGCAACATTACCCAACATTCAAGATAAGTCACCCGACTAGTCTCTAGTTCATTCTATCTTCTTTCTTTCTTTGGCCAGTATGCCATCTTTGATTGTATCAAAACTTTTACTTTGAAAGCCTACCACAAAGCATACTAAGCAAGTCTACGCCTTTGTAAATGAAATCATCTTCAAGGATGGTAAACAATTAACAAGGTAGGCAATGCATCAAGTAGGTACATTTGAATTAATCAACTTAATGCAATAAGTAACATAGGTGATAAACTTTTCAAAGTAAACAAGGTAATGGTTTAATGCATAAACCGGGGCTTGCCTTCGTTGACGATCTCGGTTTCCGGATCAGTACCACAAATATCAAATCCCGAGACAATCGGGGATTCTTCCACAACTTGCTCAACTAGAATCGGTTCACTCTTGGATTCTACACGAAATAATAACATATGCTTCAATATGATGATAATGTAAATATGATGCTTTCATGGTGCATGAAATATAATAACATCTTGAATACAACTTTACTTCGCGGTATAGTTGCAAGTCAACAAAACTAATTGACACTAACAGCTAGGGTTTATGACCTAAGTGACTTGACCAAATTGATCTTGAAACCCTACTAGTCACAAAACATGACCCAAACAAGATCAAACCCTAACCCTAACACTTAGGGTTTGCTTTTATTCATTTTTGAATTAATTTGGAAATAAGCCCAAAAATAAACTTGTTCCAAATGACCTCAAAATTTTATGTAAGCTTCCTCATAACAAATTAGTGTATCAAAATAAATTTCATAATCTTTGGAGCTATATAGTGACCTACAAAAATTATGGAAATTGCATTTATCAATTAATTGACTGAATTTTTGAACATTAAAAATTTATTCAAATTTCAAGTTTCAAAATTTTAAACCATAATAGAACATGTACAGAAGCTACACAAATTTTTTCAGAATTTTTGGAGCTATGATTATTTTCCTATAAATTCCCAAAGTTGCTGCACTATTCATAACTCAGAAAATAACAAAACTTTACTGTTCTCTCTCTATCTCTCACTGACAACCGGTCCCGCTCGTCAGTGACACAACCCCGAGCATACGGCGGCGCTGCCATCACCGGTCGGCCAAAACGCGCCTGCGGTGATGCTCCGACGAGGCAGACCGCACCTAAACCATCTACACAACCCCACGAAACTATCCCAGCCCTCAGAACCGCAGCAGGCACACCGAAGAAAGCTCCACGCCGACCATGGCGGCTCGGACTCGACGGCGCATGGCACAACCCTAACCACGGTACGGTAGAGACTAAAACGAAGCGAGCATCACGCTCAGGAGCTCACCAAGATCACGCCGGTGTGCTTGGTGAAGGCGGAGACGGTCTAGAGCAGCCTGACCACGGTGAGGTCGGTCGTGGCAGAGCTCCGGCTGGTCACGGGGAAGACGCGCTGCGCTGGGCGATTCCGGCCAACCTAAACGATGCGAGCAAGCCGAAGAGGAGCGCAAGGTCGAGGCGATCACGTTGGTGTAGCTAGGCACGACTGGAAGGGGTCGACGACGGCTACGACGAGTGGCGGAGCTAAATGGTGGCGGAGCAGAGCAGAGAGGAAAAAATGGAGGACGACGGCGACGGTTGCTGCTATTTATAGACGGGAAGGAGACGTCTGGCGTCGACAGCGCACGAACGAGCTCGCCACGGTGCTGGCTGCATGTTACCGCGCGAGAAAGCGGCGAAGAAGGTCGGCGGCAAGCAGCTGCGTGGTGCCGGCGGCTTCAAATCGAATTTTTGAATTATTTACAGAATTGCCACTGAGTCCATTTTTCAAACTACTCTCAAATTTTCTAAAGAAGTTGAAAATATCCAAAAATGAAAGTTGCTCAACTTTTCAAACTCTACAACTTTGCTTCAAGGAATATTTTCAAATTCTGCCTCCATTTTGAAATTTGAATTTGGGGTGCATTTGAGTATTTGAATCATTTCAAAATTACTCCAAATTTTATATGTAAACTTTAAAAACTTTGAATACCAAAGTTGATCCTTATAAAATAAGCTTCACCTTTGCTTTTTGTCACAACCCCAAATTCCAAATGGATTTTGAAATATATAAAAGGGGCAAAAAAGGACTTTTATAATTTGAAGTTGAATTCAAATTTGATTTGTTTTCCTTTTGACTTAACTTTGATTTTTGACCAGTAACATGGCCCATTAGGGTTATTTGAGTCAATTAACACATGGTCTCACATGATCACATGAAATTTGACCCTTGTGGTCATGATCTTTATTTAAAGTTTTGAACCACATTACATCACATAAAATAACAACTTTATGAAATAAAGCTTATTTAGTGAATGCATTCAAAATTTCCTACTTTATGAATGTTTTGCAATGCATATGATGACATGTCAAATTTTAATGCTAGGTTAAAACACCAGAGGTGTTACAAACACTCTCCAAGTAAACCCTAATTCCACTTGAGTTTCTCCTTAACTGTTGAGTAGGCCCCGTTGCCACCTTCGGGTAGCCCCCAAAGGTACCAAACTCCATCCTACTTCAATAGTTGTTTACTAGATCGATAATGATATAGAGCGGGCGTCCGTCCCGTCCGGATAGACCCGTCGCATACGGAATGCTCTCTCAATGCGACCGCCCTCATCCGCTCCCGCAACGCTCTCCCTCATCCCTCATCCCCACTATCCCGCTTGCTCCCCCATCCCCACACTGGCTCCCGCGCCCGCGCACAAGCTCGCTGCCGCCCCATTCACCCGTGCTCCCTCCCTCCTCCTCCCTCCCTCCCCCCTCCGTGAGCTCCATGCGACCCCGCGCTCCCCGACAACCCAGCTCCCATGACCCCAACCGGAGACAAGGACGATGGCGGCAGCTCCAATGAGGTAGGTTGGTCCTTCTCTAGATCTGAGCCCTCCTCATTCTCTGAATCTGAGCCCTCTTCCTCCTCCTCCTCCTCTGGATCTGAGGGACGCGTCGGTGGCTAGGGTTCCGACGAGCTTTGTGGTCCTTCCCTCCTCCCTCCGGCAAGCTCGAAGGCGATGGGTCAGGGCTAGAGCAGGCTGCACCTCGAACACATCTCATTTGTTGTTCGTACGCCCTTTGTTGTTTCCTCCATGTTGCAATGTGTTTTTTTGATGTTGCAACAGATGATTTTCAAATATTGCAATGGGATTTTTGGGTTGTTGCAATAGATGTTTTCCGAATGGTTACATTTTCCATGTTTCATGGTTGATTTTGCGAAGTTACAGTACATATCTTCCGCTGTTGCAGCACATAATTTTCGATGTTGCAGTACATGTTTTGCAATGTTGCAGCTCATAATTTTCGATGTTGCAGTATTCATATTTCGATGTTGCACTACAAAGTTTTTCCATACGTTTACGATGTTACACTTGAAGTGTTTTCGTGCTCTTGGGACAGAAGTGCGTTTGGGGAACGGGGTGACGCAGGGGACAGACCAGTTCCGTTCTATTCTCAAGGCGGAGCGGGTGGGTTTGGGAAGAGAGCGGCGTCCAGTTCTATTCCTGTGGGGGACGGGTGGGTTTGTGAAGGGCACGGCGTCCAGACGCGTCTCACGCACCGAACGTCCGGGCGCTAGGATTACCGTTACCAAATTCTTCACAGCGAAAATCTTGCCACATGTTTTGGGATCATTGCCACATGGGACCAAGTTGGCGGAAAAGAACTCTTGCTGTAGCTGCAGCTACAACCAAATGCCTGTCCACCTCGATCAAACTTGCATAACCTTAGATGTGGCAAATGTGGCAAGGTTTGGTTAGAAACCAAACAAACCAAACATGCACTTAGGCCACATGGTTTGGACCAAATAAAAGGTTAAAATTAGGAAATTCAAATGCAGAGAACTTTAAGTGACAATATGGCCTCGATGTTAAAATTAATATCATTATTAGTGCCGGATTTAGCATTTTTCACTCAGGAAGATACAGCCTCACAACAACCATTGAAAAGGAAAAATCAGTACACGATGGCCACAAACAAACATGCAAGAGCTGAAAGTAAATTCCGGGTAGCAGAAGGTCGAACGTCCAAGGCTCTTGCTATCTCGAGTCCACAACGGTGCCTTCTGGAAGCGCAGACAGGTGCACAAGAGGCACATGAGATTTCAGGGAAGCATTGGCACCAGTGATTTTGGTCTCCTTTGTTCTGTTGAGCACCTTCCTCACCTCGTCTGCAAGCTCTATGATTGAATCATCTTCGTGGCCTGAAGAGGGCAGCATAAGCACAATTTGATGTTTGAGTCTTAGGATGTAAATCCTGACTTAGCAGAAAGGGCAGACATGAACTACTCCTAGGTAATACCATATTTTAGGTAACACATGGGTATAAACAGACAGATATTCGAGTGTTAAACACTTAAAAAGTATAAAATGAGGTTCTCTTACTTATGCTGGCTAATGCCTTCTCCATTGAGAACAGGTAATCCCTATTATAGCCAGTAGGGCCATTGGCTGTAGCAATTTGCCTGCCATTGCAAACAAGATTGTAGAACAAGTCAGAATAAGATGCTTGATCAAATAGAATGTCCAAAAGAACAACAAAGGAGTGCAATGTCTCACCTTGCCATATCCTGCAAAGGAGCAGGGCCAAGGTAGTACTTGTTGCCAATTGGATCTGGAGTGGACACAAAACTACATGAACAACAAGTTATGAGTTCCACAGAGAAACAACAACGGATAGCATGGAATTGGTATTTTTGGTTTTGGAACTTCAGATCCTTACACTAAGACGCCCGTCACAGCTGGTTTCAGGGGATCTCCTTCCTAAACAATACATCAAGGGAACATGAGAGTTCTGAAAGAAAAAGAAAAACTAGTTCAAAGCTAGTTGTTCACACAAATAAATAATACCTTGTAGAAATCAATGGATATCTTCTGGTCATATTCACACTCCCTTCTCTCCAAGTACTGAAATGGCAAGGTAAACTTTCAGTGTAATTCTAGTGTCACAAATATAGTTGTTATTTCTTTTGAACTGCAAAACACAGGGGAGAAAAGCAGTGCACCTGCATTGCTTTTCGCTCTTTTTCTGGACCACCCTTGACACAATATGCAATTCCCCACTGCCAAAAAAGAGAGGTTTGAACTGTAAATAGGATCAATACAAGGAAACTAGTATGGGAATGTTAAATGTGAGTAGCATCTGATGGAAAGAACTTGGAATGGACATATCAACATTCATCAGAAACAAAAAGTCAGAACTAAAAGTGCCCAGCAAGCGTTTGACACAAAAGAGTAATGAATAGACTAGTATACAAACAGGCCAAGCATGCTCTCTAAATAGGTTAGAGCTTTTGAAAGATGAGAAATTGTGGGTGGATTCCAGATGCCAGCCATTGATCTTGCATTCTCGCATGAGTTTCAGGCGATGTATAGTACTCTACATGTTGTGTTAAAGTCAGATATACAAGTCCATATATCTACTGGCTGTGGAATAAGTGAGAACTTCCCTAGGCCGTTTCATCACTCAGATGGTCATGGAAATGACACTCAGGGTAACTATTTATCATACTATAAATTCGCCTCCTAAAGATGGGGAGAGTGTTGTACAATACCATTTTAAGCGTACAGAATCACCTGCAGTAAGCTATGATAATTCATCTTTGCAACAAGAACACTGAAAACAGGGGAAATAAAGATAAACATGAAGTGGTCTCTTACGCATATGGCCTCGTCGTCAGTTTCAAGCGTGCAGGTCCTCGCCGGATGCTCCGGTGTGCCTCTGTGGTCAATGCAAGCTGCAGGGGAACAAAAAACAAAGCAAGGGAGGAAGTTGAGGTTGAGGTACGGGTCAACGAGGGTGTACCCAAGCAAGCGCCTGCAAACAAACATCCATACCGAGATTAAAGGTCCGCTTGTAGCCCTTGATAAAGCCAAGGATTTTGTCGTCGAAGTCGAAGCCGGGGTTCCAGATGAGGGACCCGTAGCCGAAGACCCACAGCACCATCCTGCAGCTTGTTGTGTATCCGATTCCCCTGCAGAAACAGAAGCAGAGACAGAGTCAAATTCACAGTCCCAGTCCGAACCATGGTGCTACCCGCAAGACGAGAACCTTCCGAAAATGAATCCCAAACACCAAAACGACCCAATGCTTGCAGAGCACCCTCCAAATCCGACCGTCACACCGCATTACGCAGTGGCGGCATCCCTATCCGACCCCACCAAAAGAATCCCCATTGCAGCAATCACCTGGATGAGGAGAAGCCTGAGGTATGGCGCGGCCGGCAACAACGACGCGCCGACGGGCACGGGCAGGCGGGCGGGCAGGAAGGATCTAGGATTTTTGTTCTCCTCTGCCTGTCCCGTCCCGTCCCGAGCCCTGCTGCCTCACCAGCACTCTTCGCCGACCTGCCCACCTGGGGATTCGGAGAAGAGAGAGAGGGAGGAAGAAGCGGTGGGCGCGGGGCCGCCGCTATATCCCGCCAGGCGCCAGCATACGCACTCGGACACGGCACGCGGCCTGTCCCGGTCCCGGCGCAGCGAGCGAGGGGATGACCCGGATGAGGATCAGGACGGTGTGGCCTGTGGCTGGTGGTCACCGGCACGTGATGCCTCCGGCGTGCGTGGCGGCCACTCCTCTCCTGCCGCGCCCGGACGTTTTCCACGGGATCTCGCAGGACGTTTTCCGTGGCGGGGCACGGAATCATGGGCGCTGTACGGAAATAGCCGGCTCGGATAGGCCCTTGTTTTTTTTTTTCTCGTGGCGGGGAATGCTTACTACGGCACGCAAAATGTAGAAGGGCATTTGGGCGCTGTACGGACTTATAGCCGGCTCTATTTGATAAAACAAGGGTTTAACCCAAAATCCAAATTTCGCGAACTAAACTTACTGGCGTGCCGCTGGATTCAAACGACCTGCAGGTGCAATGGATCTGGACAGGTTTGGGTGCTAGGGGGCCATCGAGAGGCGTAAGTTCAATGAACGAGGGGTCATCGGGGTTGAGGCCGGCCACGACTGTCACGCGTCGAGCGGGTCAAAGTCCAAGTACAAGTAGATGGATGGTTGGTGGTTGCAGCGGAGCTTAGGCCGTGTTTAGTTGAAAAAAAAGTTTCAAAAAAAATAATACAGTATTCATCACATCGAATCTTGCGATACATGTATGGAGCATTAAATGTAGATGAAAAAAAAACTAATTACACAGTTTGGTGGAAAATTACGAGACGAACGTTTTAAGCCTAATTAGTCCATGATTGAACACTAATTGCCAAATAAAAACGAAAGTGCTACAGTAGCCAAATTCCAACTTTCCCCTCAACTAAACAAGAGCTTAAGGATGGCGGATTTGGATCGGTGGAGTCGCTCCATCACCAATTCAAGTGGAAATCTATCATCAAAACTAAAAACTCGTGGATTTTCGAAACCTGACGGATTATCCAAAACCAAAAATATTATAACAAATCAGCAAAGAACAGCACTCAAACAATAAATTAGCAAAGCTGATTGCAAATAAATATATATAAATTATTTCAACAAGACGTAGCCATGAAAGTACTAGCAAGCAGCAGCTAGCCATGCACAGAATATATAGAACATGTACAGATTACAGCAAAATAGATACATAGTCCATCTGATTGCTTGCTCGCCTCGACGCCTCCCCACAGGCTGCGTGCCCAGCGGCGCCGGCTGTCGGCAGCTAGCGGATGCGGGAGCAGCGCCGAGGACAAGGAGGCCGCCCGCCGTCGAGGGCGAGAGAGAGAGAGAGAGAGAGTGGGCGACTGCTGACTGGCGCACCGGGGAGTTGGCGAGGTCACGAACGCGAGGGTCTGAGGCGCCGGCGCCTTGAGCCTTGACCGGGGCGCGGGGAAGCGGACAAGCACCAGCCGCCGTCGCTCGTCGGGTCTCGGGTGGGATGGGTCTGTGCTGTGAGATTGAGTGAGGATTCCAGGCTTATATACTTAGGGTTGCTAGTTGTGCTTCTAGTGGGCTGAACTTTCAGGGCCCGATGGAGCTCCACGGGTGAAATTAAGGATCCGCCCCAACCCCGCAGTATCTCATGTATCCAAACACGAAAATTCGTTGGCAAAAACCAAGCACCAAAATTGAAACCCGCGGATCCGAAACCCACGGATATCCACCCTGAATCCGATTCGTTGCCATCCTTAGCGGAGCTAAGGGGTGCTGCCAGGGCCATCCCGGCCCCCACCCACACCCACATTTCACAACAACAAAAAAATTAGTACTAGTGTAGCTTTATAATTTTTACTAGCAAATATATCCTTGCGTTGCAACGGGACGTACTGCTTATAAACTTTACACACATAACCTATTATATGATAACCTGGCGGTTTGAAGAAAAAGAAAGATGAGAAAAGACACGTAGAAAAATTAAAATGAACAAAAAAGCATGAACGGAAAAAACCAATGGAACATGGGAAATTTTAAACAAAAAGGAAAATAGAATTTGTTTTTGGAAAAACAGAACGTTAGCTGCACTTTGCTGTTTTTATGACATCTTCAAAAGGACACAACAACATGCTTGTTCAGGACATTCTTCACTGCACAGCACAATGCAAATCTAATTACTTGGGTCTTGAGTAATTTTCCCAAATCTTATGAAGTTACCAAACTAAAAATATCCCAAACATTTCATTACAACTACCAAGCTGCACACGCATCACACTCATCGATAGATTGGGTCAAGCAGGAGAAGAAGCAAGCAAAGCATATTGAGGGGAGAAAGCGACAAACAGTCATAGTTGGGGATTGGCAAACGCTGGCGTCAACCAACTGTACATGGGAGGCGGTGCTAGGCTAGGACTTCCTGCCGAGGAAGAAGTAACCACCAGCACATCTCATCGTCCTCCTCTCACAGTCTCACCTCTTTTCCCTTGCTGCACTGCTCCCTCCACCTGAACCACCAACACTGCTCATCGTCCTCTCACAGTCTCACCACTTTTCCCTTGCTTCACTGCTCCCTCCACCTCCTTGACTCTCATGGAAATCCTCTAGATTATTAGGTGTACTGGGGCGACCGTGGTTGCCGATAGGAAGATGGATGGCAGTCGAAAGCATCCTTGTGCTTTTGAGGAATCTTTAGCCACCTCCCTACAAAGTCCCTCTTATTCTCCAGGCACCAGGAATCCTACAAAGTCCGTGGCCTCCTTTAGCAGACGGCCATTCACCTCCTTTAGTATATGACCGAAACTTCCACATGTATTAGGTAGCATACTATACAATGAATCCAAGATGTAAATTAATCGACACAAAGAACAAAAAAAGCATGTCCTTATGGTTTAATTAAGACTTTATTATTTACTTGATTCTTTCCTTCAGAAGCGTAAAATAGTTATTCCTTGAATTGATTAATACTGCATCAAATGCTTTTACTATCTGAACCTCATAACACCTAGTAGTATGTAGTTCAGCACCAATATCAGAAATTCTAGCAGTGCATCATCTATACCACCTTGAGGAGCACCACCTCCACAAGATGGGACCAAGTCTAGATAATTTGCTTGTGATAAAAAATATTAAAATCATATAGCTAGAGGAAGCAAATCAATCACCAGGTATAACTGATCATACAAGCGTAGTAATAAGAATCCTAGACTATAGAAACACTGTAGTCTGTAGTAGTCGGTGTAGTCTTAGTCGTCAGAGCATCTCCAGCAGTACTACCTAAATCAGCATACCTAAATGTCTGTTTAGGTAGCCACCTATTTTTCTACAACCCAAATTTTGCTTCCGATTCCAGCAGTACTACAAAACAGGCTACCCAAACCAATCCTCCTAGAGAATGATAGGCGGGTCCCACGTGTCATTCTCTCTTCTATCTTCTTCTCCATAGATGAAGTCGTCACCGGAGGAGGGGAGCAGGGGAGGGGCCGGTGGAGGCGTGGCCGCCATCGTGGATGCCGGTGGAGGCACGACTGGGGCACACCGTCATTGTTGACGGTCATTAACATCAATTATAAACCAACAATATAACATGTATATATACTTAATTCCATCACCAAACATAGGTCTAGGGGTTTGTTGACGGTCGTTAACATCAATCATAAACCGTCAACATAACTTGTATAAATGCATAAAAAGGATCACCAACATAGGTTTAGGGGTTTAAACTGACAAATTCCACGAGTTTTGGTGAATCTATATTTCATCAGGGTTTATCTAGAAAACCGGCAAGGATGACCTATTCATCAAAGCAAATCACATTTATCCATAGCGAAACCGGCGTGGAAAGACTCTAGAAGACTCCAGAATGCAAACCACCGAAGCTGACGGCAGGCGGCTGCCATGTGGGGCCGGTCGACCCCACCTGCAGGCCGCCCGGCCCTTGGGCCCACCTGTCAGCCCCTCCTTCGAATGTCAGTTCTCCACCGCTTCCTAGATTGCATCTACGCCGTTCTTTCAAGTCGGTTTGATCCGAGAGTCTAGAATTGACGCTTCGACCTATATATACTAGCCCCTGTCCCCCTCCTTGGAGCTATCCTAAAACCCTAAATTATATTCTCCTTGTTAGGATTAGAGCCAGCTATCAAGAGAAGATTAGTCCTCTTTAGGATTTAGTCTTGTAAATAATAGTGAGATAAAGAGTGAGGGAAGAGTTTGGAGGAGGTGTCGGCCTGTCGGTGCTCTCTCTATGGCTTGTACCTTGGTGGATCCAAGTTCTATCTAAGCTTGCCTCTGAGATTTCTCTGGTAATCAACTTCTGATCCAAGTAAGCATCTTGTTTATATTGTTCATCAGGTTTACGACTCATTTGAGTGCTTTATTCTCTTCCTAGGGGGAGTAAAGTATTAATCATAAGTGTAAGCGTGGTGCTTAGACTTAGGTTAATCGTAGATGCATCCTACATTCTGGATCGGTGGTAGCTCACGAGAGTGACTCTTATAGCCTCATTGAATCCTCTGTAGTCCACCTCCCGTTTGTAAGGGCACGTAGGACGCGGTTGCGAAGGAAGCATCCTCTGCTGGTGTCTTTCCCTAGTAATGTCCCTAGTTGAATAGTAGAAGACATAGCTTACCTAAGTCAAAATTAGAGAACCTTAGTTTTTCTTTCTACGCTCCTATTTATCCTAACCTTGTTGCTACCCTTAGTTAAGTTAGACCATAGTTAGTCTCACACGTTTTCCTGTGGATACGATACTTGGAATACTTCTGGATAAAAGCTATAGCGGTATCCGTGCACTTGCGGATTTATCTATGTGCGTTAAAATATACCAACAAGCTTTCTAGCACCGTTGCTGGGGAAACAGTTGCTGAATTAACTATGAACCTAGCTTAATCTTTTATCCTTTATCTTTTTTCTTTATTCTTTTCCTTTTCACTATGGATTCCACTCCTATCTATCAATACGCTGCACCCACGAGCGCATACCTAGAGCCACCAAAATCTTCAGAGCCTATCATAACATCTGGCTATGAGCTGCGCCCGTGTTTTATAAAAATGATTCGGGATCAATCCTTCTTGGGAGAAGGCATTGAAAACCCATATTGTCGGTGCAGAAAGTGACCAACAAGTAAATATTTGTAGTTTTGCCGTACATTGTGATCGAAGGTGGCCTAGCACTCAATGACACAGGGTTTATACTGGTTTAGACAACGTGCCCTACGTCCAGTTTGAGTCAGTCGGTGACTTTATTCCTGAGCCCAGGTGCTCGAAGTTTGCAGTGGGTTACAAACGAGAAGGAGAAAGATGGTGGGTACAAGAGGTCTGGTCGGACTCTGGTCGGAGGGACCGAAAGTGACGGGAGCCCCGCTATGAGCTAAGTGTTCGAGCGTGTGCTCGTGGTTTGAACCT